CTCGTTTGTAAATTTCTTATGTTCTTATGTTCTTAAATTGGAAGATGTCATTAACCTGGTCACAAAAGCAAAGTTTAAACATAAAAGTGTCGGTCAGATAAAATTATTTGTTCTGTAGTATGCTAGATTTTCATCAAGGAAGACAAACCAAAAACTGCCATTCAACAGAAACAGGTTTGCTTCTTTTTTTATAAAGAAGTAATTACATAAAATGCATGATTCCTGCAATGCAGAAAGAAAATATGTATGTTAAGTTCCTGGGGTGTGAATACTGTTCACTACCTGAACATAAGTTTATTTAAAATGAGTATAGAACACGTCATATTTTGTATTAGATTCTTAAAAATCCAACCTTTTTCCATTTAACGTGATTTTACAGTAAATTTCTATAATATTCCATGACATATGATAAGAGTTTTGTATCTGTGATTGCTTATGGAAATCCCTTGAATTGTTAATAAGGATATAATGTGTTATCAAATGTGTTTACGCATAAACTATAGAGAGGGACCCCGACCACTATGGACTCGGAAAACATCTCCAGCAGTTCTGCCATACACACCGAAAGACCTGAGCGTCCTCAGAAGATATGGAGCGGTCTCTGGCCGTCCTTATACAGCACTGCTGTGTTGTCAGCCCAGTGCAGTTTGATGTTCATGTGGGGAAGAAAAGAAATAAAGAGTAGGTTCATTATTACGTCACACATTACGAATTCTATGACATCGACATGCAAAAGAATATGTTTGAATACACTGCGAAGTATTAAAAACAAAGCCTCAACAGTCCCGTGAACAGCGGTGCTTGAACGGTTTTAGCCCCAAACCTGCACGCCACGCCCAAAACGTTAACATTAACCTCCCATAAAAGCACGAACACCGATACACCTCTGCAATCCGGACGAAGTGCTGCGGCAGAAATACGGTAACTGCGAAGACGATTAAACGACTAAATTACGAGACACAGGTAAATATCACAGGTAAATATCGCCTTTATATAGCTTAAACGCGTAATCGACAACAACCCGTTGATTATATCTAAATAACGTCTAGTTTTCTTCCAGAATGGATGACGGACTAGTTTTTGCAGCCGTCTTGATGATGGGCATCTTAATAACTTTTGCCGAAGCACAATCTTCATGCTTGTTTAACACCACTTCCTTCACAACCCCGGTGAGACATTAAATTCGTGTTTTATGAAGACCAGAGCATCTCCCAGTGTTCTCCTAATACTTACCGTCATTCATCAGGATGGTGCTGGAGTCAACTGCTGAAACTAGATCAAGTCTATAAAGATCAAAACTCCTGCATTTGGTTGTACCTGTTTTGTGCAAATTGCATGAAAATTAACTATGGGCTAGTTGGACTGTTTAAAGTAGAACCACTACCGTTTCTAGTTTGGGATGTTGTTAAATAAGTAGAATATATGTAATTGTCATATTTATTTAATTTTTTCGTATTTCATACATTTGCCCCAGTTCAGACTGTAGGTAGAACATTTCATTAGATGTACAGTGTATGTGCATCTGACAAAATCTGAAACTTGGAAGCTTAACATAAGGAGTATAGAAAAGGAGCATTGAGGGTCAGAGTGGAAGTGGTGGTGATGATGATGATGACGAAGATGATTATATCAGTAATGATGCGCAGGATGAATGAATGTGTTTTTCGATCTGGCCACCAGAAGAACTTCACGCGCACAGATTGTGGGAAGTTCAAGATATGTGTGTCTATTCCCTCGTCATGTGACCCCGCAAGCAGTAACTGCACTTTCTTATCTATCCGCAACATCACGGCGGGTGCAGGCATGTTTTCCATTGAGCTGCAGGGACAATCTGCAGGCTTCATTGCAGTATTGCTATCACAAAGCCAAGCAAAGGTATGTACTGCATTGTCACTGTGAGAGATAAAGCCATTCATTTTACACTGAGGATAAAAATCAAGAGCAAGGTATTTACACTCCCTTTTATGTACAGAGCTCACAGAAAGTCTTGTCAATTAATTCTGTAAAAATGTTGCAGATTTATTAGTTTCATAACCAAAGTCCATTGACAAGCAATGTTTATCGTATCTTCCATACAAACATTTTCTTCTCTTCAAGTATGACTTTTTTATTGACTTATTCGGTTCTGTTCTTGCTATTAATTGCAGAAGTAGACACCAAACATTTGGTGTTTTATGTTATTGCAAAGGTGTTACAAATTAGAAAGCACCCAGTGAGACTGCTTGTCAATGAACTTATTTAACTCAGAGCAGCTCTTTTAGAACTATAATACTATCATTTGGGTTTCAATTTATTACTACTGTACCTGAAATGAATGTTTTACTTACAACTACTTCTTGTCTCTGATGTGATACATTTTTGTAAACAGATGAATAAAATAATAATTCTTGTTATAAAACCAATACATTTGCAATGTTTATACTGAGTTAATCAAATTTCTCAAGACTTTCTGTGATACGTTTGCAGTGATTTTTTTTGGTCATACTTTACTTGTGGGGACACAAGTAATGTAGTATTGTGTACAGTACACTGAGTAAAGCTTTACCATCTTTTTCTCTTCGTGACAATCTGTCGGTAAACGGTTTCTCATCTGTGTCCTGCAGGGCGTTGATCTTGGCTTCGTCTCCTCACAGAGTAATTCAAGTGTCTGCTTCAACTTGATTAGGAACGGGACACTGTTCACAACGGCAAGTTTACGCTTTAGACTTCAGTTTCCTTTCTAAAGTCCATTACATCGGGAAGATGTCGCCACGCGGAGCTGGCAGTAATGGACATTGCATTCACAAGTGAAAGCAACATTCGATTACTATCCCTTTAGCTACAGAGGCAGCTTGTTGCATGACGAGCTGCAGCCTCGCCGGAGAATCTATTGTACATGTGATGTGTGAACCATGCGGTTAAATGCAGTTTGGTTTAATCTTACAGTGTAAACCATGACATTGATGGAGCTCATTCTGTATTTGTAGGTCCTTCCAACAGGCCTGACTGTTAACGCCTCAGTCAGCCAGAACGTCATTAAAAGCAGCTTTGTGAGCCCTCTAAATCCCACCGTCTTCACCAATACCCCAAGCCCTACCAGCTTTTTTGTCTCCATTGCTACTGGAACCATGAATGGCAGTAAGTCGCTTTTTTTTTTTTGCACTCCATAATTCTTAAACCAATTTAAAAAGCTCTCACTGGAACCCTAACACATGACGGGGACTATTATGGACAATACACGGCCCTAGAAAGATCAGAAAAAAGCACAAATTACCAGAGTAAATGACACAAATGGAAAATATGCAAGAGAGGAAGCACTCAGCAGTAATGGGATTTTTTTTTTTTGTTTCAATCGACAGCTAGTCTGGGAACCTTAAATTACCTATACGCCAGTACGACTAAGCTGGACCTAACCAACCCCACAAGTGGTGCAGTCACGCAGTGTCTGTCAGGTAATGTAAATCACTGCTTGTGTCACCAGTGTTCATGAGAGGATACATTGTATTATCCCATATAACAATACTAATATTATTCTACATTACTGCCTCATTGCATTTTCTGTCCAACATCAGCTAATGAAAACCTTACATCTTTCAGCTGTGATGGGCCTGCTGGGTTTCATGATCGTCCAGCTGTGGTGAGGAGCTGTAGCTTGGGTCATGTGGTTCACCAGAGCTGAAACAAACACGGTCAGAACCACCAAGCTCTGCCAGAGACCCATTACTCCGCAGCGTCGTTCTAATTTGGTGCTTAATTTGCAGCCCTGGAAAGACAGGGTGGGTGAAAGGTGGGGAGTGATTTAAACAGTAACATATGCTAATATAATGCATGCTTATCCTGATCAACATAGTTTTTATGCTATTTTTTTGGGGGGGGAAGGGGACCCATAATCTATAAAGCTTCGGATAATGGTAGAAAAACCAATCTGTATGTAAGAGACATTGATCCTGCATTTAATCATCCATTCAAGTTCAAAAGTAAAAAAAAAAAAAAAGGTGTAACATTCTCCAGTCAGGCCAAGGGAGGCAAGCTGTAGTTTTGTGGAAGCAGAAAAGGGTGCATGTTTGTTAGGCTCTGACAACCTGAATGGTGTCACCCACTGCCTATATCAGGGGTCACCAACTCCGGTCCTGGAGAGCTACTATCCAGTAGGTTTTCTGTACCACTTGGCTTCTGATGAGCCACACCTGCTCCTGGTATTTACCTGAGAACAAGTGTGGCTCATCAGAAGCCAGGTAGGATAGAAACCCTACTGGATAGTAGCTCTCCGGGACCGGAGTTGGTGACCCCTGGCCTACATATTCCATCCCTTTATTATGTGAGTGACCCACAGGGTACCGATGGCACATCATCCTTCACCCCCCACCTGGCCCTGCTGAAGGGAGGTGCCAAGAGAGAGCTGAACAAATGCCACCCAGTGGGCAGTGATCCTATCGTACCTTTTGAGTTGTATTTATTGTCCTCTCTAAAGCTCTCTCGGCATCCACTCCTAGACGGCTCCCGGCCACGTGTGTTAATAAAGGACACCCAACCCAACCATCTGCTCGCCAGAAGTGATTTATCTTCTACAGCTTAAAGAATTACACTTCGACAAAATGGCTCCCAATACTGCAGTATCAATATCTTAACAGACAAGGCCGGGAGGCACCAGCTCACATTTATTTCATTTTATTTAAATTTGACAGTTGAGACAGTTGACAAAAAAAAGAAAGAAAAAAAAAAAAAAAAAAAAGACATGTGACAAGTGAAATTATGGTACTTAAGAGACAATTAACACATTCACACAGTCTTTTCAAAAATACACTTCTATTAATCTCATTTAACAAACATTTATCACCTTTTAAAAAATGAATATTGAATACTATCACATTAAATCTCCAAAAAAAAAACAAAAACAAAAAACAAAACACAGCCAAACGCCAGTCGGTTGGTCGAGAAAACACCGCAGCAGCTCCATGAACGCCCGTCTTATTCACAATCTACTCTATTATACAACCAGGTTAAAAGCGGTACAGGATAAAGGTGAACTGTTACATATCATAGCCTCAGACTTCAGATGCAGACAAATTGATGGGACAAAGGAGGTTAACAGAATGCGATGTCACCTGTTGCCAGTAGAGGTCTCCATGTGGCTGCGTCGAGTGTGTTTACATGTTTGACCTCACAACTTAGAAAATGTCCTGCCTCTTTGAGAAAATGTGCACCTATGAAATACCTCTAAAGTCTGTGAAGGCATCTGGGCCTATGTGTGTATAGCCTGTACATAAACGTTTGCTTGATCGCTCTCTACGAGTCGTCATCCCCATTTACACTGTCCCCATCATCCTCTCCCTCCTCCTGCTCCCCTTCCTCCTCTTCATCATCCTCATTGTCTTCTCCCCTTCCTCGGCTCTTCACCTGGGGGGGGGGGCATAAGGCAACAGTACAGTCTTTGCCAATACACATCCTTTGTATCTAACAAAGAAACCCGACTTGCCAAAATTCAGATTATGCAAATATTCAGCTCAGCGCAGATGTAAAGGCCGATTCATTTTTCACTTGTCCATGTCTGCTTTTGGTCAGCGAATAGAGCGAGTGACAAATTTCATCAGGGGTTTCCGCCAGATGGGGAGTGTAGCCCACATTTTTGTGTCAAGTGGAGATCATGCTTGTCGCTGCATGTCAACCATACATGTGCAAGGATATCGACTAGGTGTCTTCTGGAAGTGGCAGCAGTGACTAACAGAGCAGAGGTCAACCAAGAAAGAATTGTTGTAGGAGGTGCGGCGGTATCCCTGTATATCTAATTTTTAGATATTAAGCATTACCTATAACAGATTAGACACTATATAATCTGGGTGATAAAATAACGTTTGCCTGCTATGTCCACAGACAAATGTATGAACAAGATTCCTCAAGCACGAATGTCCGCGGACCGAAAGCACATGAAGAAAATGAAGTATGAACTAGACTTAACATTGCGCACCTTGACGCAAACAGAGACTGCTGTTGGGGGTTTATATGCCAGACCTTTACCAGCATCTACCATAAACCATCTGGCAGCACCTTCATAACAGGTGCCAACATCATGCTAATAATTAATTTATCTTCTCAAGCTGTTGATTCTCTGCCCTCCTCTTCGGACTTTTTTGCATTTTCCTCGACTCACCTCCTCCTCCTCCTCAAGCAGGTCTCCCTCTTCCTCAGAGTCGTTCAGCTCCTGGCTCTCCCTCTCGCGCTCCCTCTTCACGCACTCCTCCTTCTTGCTGCCCAAGCCGCTGGAGTGCTGCAGCGAGGATGTCTCCCCGCTGTCGGACTTCACGCCCTTGCCATCTGCGCAGCGGAAAACCGGGAGATTCAAGGGAGTCACAGGGTCAGGGGGGGAGAGTAAGCCTATGCACAAAAAGCACCAAATTCTGAAGTGAAAATTGTGCAGTGTGTCATTTACCTCCCTGGAACATCACTTTGGACAAAAGCATTTGCTAAATATGAAAAATGTAAATGGACGGAAGACACAGTAATATTGTTTGGAGCGTAAATCTGAGGTCACATGACCATGACCCTACCTGACTTCTTTGCATGATCCTTCTCCATTCGATCTAGGCTTTCCAACAGGTAATCCACCTTGTGCTTGATTTGGGTCAACTCCTTCTTGATGGTCTGCAAGTCATCTACTTTCACTGAGGGATGCGAAACAGGACAAACGGGAAGGGAGGCAAGAGTTACCGGGCCAATTCAATGGTCTTTGCGATGTATGTGTTAGGAGAGGAATGAACGCGAGAGACCGATCAAGGCAGCACTCACTAGCGCGGGAGTAGGAGGAAGACGAGGTGCGCTGACTGCTTTTGGAGGACGAGAAGCTGGTCTTGGTGCGCCGGCTGCCCCCTCCACTCACACTGACCCGGGGCCGCTTTGAGGGAATCACAGCCCGGGAGAGGGGAGGGGGAGGCGGCGGTACACGGGAGGGGTACGAGTACATCCTGGGGGCATAGAAGTAAAGTCAAATCCGCTCCATAAACTGATGTCGGCCCACCATGCATACACCAGCACACACAGCCATGAAGGTGTAAAGGCACAAGACACATGTGAATGCTGGAGTCCATGTCAGTGAATTACCCCGGGTTCCATCAGTCATTATTAGTAATTATTCCTCCCTTCCTCAAACTGTGGAAAGGTGGCACTACTACATACAAATACTTCATTTTTACCATTGGGTAAATATACTCATTCTTCCTGTAAATACAGGGTCATAGTGACCTAGTTAAGAGCAGCAAATCAAATCCATTTAAACACAGTCCTCTGCAGAATGTCTGGCACGGGTGTAATCAGCCACCGAATGCTAACATTACCCAGCATCCCCGCATCAAAACCTTGATAGACCAGGTTAATTTCAACCGCTAAACAAGGCGATCGGCTGCTGCAGAACTGGACGGCTGAGTACGCGGGACTCACCGGTCGTAGTAATCCCTCTGAAAGTCATAATCCAGGTCAAAGGAGGAACTGCTGTGGGAGAGAAATCAACATGGGGGCTTCAGGGTTTAGGAAGCCACAGTGCCTCAGCGGCACTCGAGAGAGCACGCGACAACCGCGGGGCCATAACGGCATGGACTCAAGAGAGAGCGCAACATGGTAACGGCGCCATAACACCACAGACAGAGCATGCTAGACGGTCATAGCGCCATACTGGCACAGACACGAGAGATGGTCTCGAGTGCCATAAGATGGTCAAGTGCCATAACGGCATGAACCTTCAAGGCAGGAGACAGTTGCGGAGCTGGATCGGCAGAGCACTTGAGGCAGTGCCATAACGGCATAGTCTCAAGACAGCATGCGACGGTCGCAGTACTGCGACGACAGAAGACAGATGAAGCGGCGTACCTGTACATGTCACCCGCGGAGCGCTTTGTAGCCTTCGCCCTGTGAGGCTTGGGCTCGCCCGCCAGGTTGATGTCTGGGGAGGAACGAGCAGGGTTTGCAGGAGCACAAGACCTGCTGCAGCAGGCAAACAGCACGCACGAGCCTAGCCACGAAACAGCCAACGACTGCGCACACACTTACCGAGCACCTGACCCACGATCATGCGGCCGTCCTCGCCGGCCACGGCGGCGCGAGCGTTGCGCTCGTTGGCATACTGCACGAAGGCGAAGCCCTTGTGCACAGAGCAACCCACGATCTTGCCATACTTGCTGAAGATGGCCTCCACGTCAGCCTTGGTCACCAGCAGAGTGTTCAGGTTGCCAATGAACACGCGGGAGTTGAGCGAGCGGGGGTCTGTCTTGTTGGTCACGTTGCTGGCCATGAGGCTGCTGGTGGTGGGGGATCGGCTAGTTTCCGGGGCGGGGATTAACACGAAAAGAGGCGGGGGGGATAGTTAGCGATGCCACCAGGAAGCGAGTACAAATAACAGAATAAAAATGGAGCTGGATGGTGGTGGAGGGATATAATAAAATTGGTCTGTTTTGTGTACTTTGAGTGCACGTTAGACCACAAACTGCACATCTTTGCACGTGCAGGGAGTACAGCACATAGACATAGGGAGTGTGAGGACAGGGCCTGTGCACTCTTACTGTGCCTGTACAATGCCTTTGCTTATTCTGCACTGGTCCGCATTGCCGTTTGTAAAGCGTGGCTGAGAATGTCCAAAACGGCTTCAAAGAGACAGCATTCTATGCGCCAGGCTGCTCTAGTAGTAAACAGATTTAACACCATAGTACCAAAAAAAAAAAGCAGCATCGAAAACCCGCCTGCTCCAATACCCCACTCTGAACATTCCCAGGGCGTTATCCTAAGCGGAGGGACAGCATTTTGGGGTCTCTGGAGAACAAGCTGCACTGAAGGGCTGAGATGGCCTTTAAGGTCACTGTCTGGACCTTGTGGCCAAGTGGCCTCACAGGTGACACTTTCCTGTAAAGTTTACATTTAATTCATCTGACGCTTACATCTAAAGCAACTAGGGAATGGGTTATAATTTGTGGGATCTCCCTGGGATTTAAACCCACAACCTTTGCGTTATCGCAATGCACTACTTATTGAGCTACAGCAACAAATAAAAAAATAGAATAATTGACTTTACAATTTAGTTAAAATCCTATAGGGTTGTTCAGAGTTCTGGAAAACAGTGGTGCAAAACATTTATAGCAATTCAGGAAGGGGGGGGGGGGGGGGTTATATAACCATCACTCACTCCATAGTGCCTGTATTGCGGGCTGGTCGTCTGAATGTACTTTCTCACTGTGGTTGGACCAGTGTGTGCGAGCAGGAGTCTCTGCCTCCCTCTCAGGGAAACTACAAATCCCAGCAGGCTCCGCTTTACGTCACAGAATGCAGCACTGCCCCCAAGAGACTTACTGAGGCGACAAAGAACAGACCTCAGTCACACTACAAGAAGTTATTGTTCAACTTTTCCCATTTGATGGCGATTTGTGAAGTAGCCCCCGGTTCTGAGCCCAATATAAGAAGCAGAACCTAAATGCTTCTGGAATAGCTTGTTTACAAAATGAGGAAAAGAGATTTAAAACTGCAAACTGGTTTGGGAGAAAGAAGGCTGAAATGGAAGTGATACACACTTGACTTGACCTCTGATTAAACACATATAAGTACAGTTTACTTTGATGTGTGGACAATGATCTGAAACTGCTCCCCATGTGGGATAAACTGGCATATGTTCAGGAATCTCTTTGAGTAGGAGGAAATGGACTGTGCTTTGGGTGACCAGTGGCTGAAGGGCAATTTCATAGTTATGGTTAAATAACCGTGCTTAGGGTTGACTTCAGCTGCAGCTACTCAAATGACTGGCAGGGGGCAGTGTTTCACTCCTACATTAGGCTCAGAACCTGATCCCATGCCCCATTAATCCCACCCCCAATCATTTTTCAGTCTTTATCTTCAGGGACTTTTCTCCTGCTCTCCTAAGAAAGGGAATAAAGACACAATTTAAAAAACAACAAGCTTGCGGCCATTGGTGATAGACATCAATAAGAATCTACCACCCACACCCCACCTCCCCCCCAGCACCATTTAGAGAGGAGAAAGAAACCCACATCTGCAGAACGTGACATCGTCACTCAGAACTAAAGTTAGCTCTTTTTTATATACAAGTGGCAGTTTCCCCCAACCCGGTCCTCCGGGACCCACAAACAGTCCACATTTTTGCTCCCTCCCAGACAGTCCACATTTTTGCTCCCTCCTACTACGCCTGATGGTCTAGGTCGCCGTTTCTCAAACCGGTCCTTACGGACCTCTCAGGTGGTCCATGTTGCAAAAAACGTGGCCTGTAGACAATCAGGCGTAGTATACATTGACAAATACAACGGTGGAAATTTTAATCCGAACCCTTTACCCGTTTGCTGTGTGGCAATATCAAACTTAACTGAACTTGGCAGCTAGCATTCATATTTAGGAGTGATGCAACTAAAAAGTGAGCAAATTATTATTATAATATATTATAGAATAATTATACTGTCCAAGCAGATGATCATATATAAGCAAGATAAAGCCAGTCATCTAGGCACCTAAACTAACCTGATTGCTGTTGGGAGATGCGGGGTTACACACCTCACCAAGAAATACTTGATTGAAACCTGTGTGTCATAAGAAGCAGGTCAGCCGATTCTAAGAAATGAAGTACTCAAACCAGCTCTGCCATTAACGGCACTAAGGCTCGTTCATCTTAAACGACACTATATTTATTTATTTTTTTAACATGCTTAGGAATCATGTTTGAATGATGCGGCAGTTGAATTGTTCATGAAGAAAGTACGAACGCCTAATGCTCAATGGTTTTACCCGAAGTGAGCCCTACATCCAGACAAAACAGATGCCCAAATGGACATGTCAAACTGTGAGCTAAGCTGCTTTCCCTAAGATGGCTTATTACAGAGCAGTGCTGTAGGGCAGACGTGCAATGCCATATTCTTACACAAGCATGACAGATTCACCCACGCGACTGTTCATTGAGCGTCCGGTTAGCTGGATCAGGTGGGCTGTGCTTCAGATGGAACAAACCGGAATGTGACTGGGGGTGTGTGCGTGCTCACAGGACCTCATTAATAGCCCTGGAGAATGCCGCATTTTGCACTACTGCAGAGCTCTCATTTGCTTTAGTTAGAGGATAATTGCTGAGACTCAAAACAGCATATTTTAACCTTAAGGAACACATTGGTGAAAATGGTGCAAGTGAAAGTTCTAAGCCATTCTGATGTTCCAAACACTCGTATTAGTTCTTATCTGAAAAATTCTCTCAATTGGAAATTCAAAAAAATACTACTCTAACTGAATTATGTCATGCTATTCTCATGTTAAACTTTAGTACAAATGTGTATCAAATTGTGTCCATTTTCAAGTTTTCAACTTTTTTTGTGTGTGTTGTGACTGTAGTGGCAGTCGTTAGTTTCAATGAGTGGCAACATCATTCGGGCAGATGGGGAGCAGATGCTGGAAACGGGAGCAGAGACCATCCTCAGTGAAAGGAACTTGACTGGCATTCAGGAACACATGCAGCTCTACAGACTAACAGTACAAACTAGGAATAAAATGCCCACTGAATTCAGAAGGAAGGTGAAACATTTCAGAAAACCAAAGCCAGGTTTGATTCATGCCTTGGATATATAACAGTATTTTTAAAACATAATCAAATATAAAAACATTAACATGGCTCCAAGAACAAATAACTAGCATTTCCCTAAGGCATCAAAACAACAGACTTCCACCAGTGTGGGGTTTGGCTTTCCCCACTTTTCACTGGATTCCACCATTGAGCTCGAAACAAGGGAATAAGCTGTGAGGAAGACCACACACACACAAATATAGGGATTTACTGTAGTTACTGCGTACATTATAAAAGTTAACAGCAAAATCATGAAATTTCCAAAGTGACACAATACAGCATTAATATTAAATGGCAACAATAAAAAATGTGCCATAACACAATCCAATCAGGAAAGAGGGCAGAACCACTCGAGACAATCCCCAATGTTCATGAAAACACTAGTCTTCCTTGGGAATCATCAAGAGAAGCATGTGCCATGTACATCCCATTAAAATGAAACTCAAGGTGCACCATTATAAAGATGCTTAAACACAGGTCAATCCATAAAAAAAAAAAACAAACAAAAAAAACCCAACTTTCTTGTGCATTCAATCACACTGCCTGTTGCGAAAATGTCATCGTGAAACTATTGAAAAGCTCTGACACTGTAAAATACAGGGGCTGGTTGCTAGTTGACTGAATCACTCAAATCTGATTAGGAACAGTAGCATTTCTTGCAGTGAGTAAATGTGAAACTGAACTATGTAAATTAAAACAAAACTACATAAAGGTGTAAAATATGTTCCTGACGGTCCAATAAACATGCACCATTAGACGACTAAATGGCCACTCAATTGTAGGGGCGACGGACATGTGATTTTATATCCAACATCAATGTCTACATGAACATTTTGAAAGCCTAAAAATAAATCCTTACAGGACTGGGGTGTGACTCTAAAGGCTACTGCTCTAATACACAAAAATACACATCTAATGGAAGAACAACTACAGTAAATGTACTCTGTTAATGGAATAACGGCAGACATTTTGCAACTTGACAAAAATGCAAAAATCAGCTTTGATCAAAGTACAAAAGATTGCTTTTCTTGGGGGGGGTCTGCATATGAAGGAATGGCTAGACTGTCAAAAAAGCTTAACGGATATATTTAAAATACAGTTGTTGCTTTGCATGAGTGGAGGTAATTAAAAATGTAACTTACGGGTCGTTCGCTGATCAAAAAAGCTGCAGCAAAAACTGAAAAAAATAAATAAAAAAATAAAAAGTGGAATTAGAGAATGATGAAAGCAGGAACAATGACATCTCCAAGGGGGTTAAAGACAACAGCAGACTAATTAGGGGAAAACAAACAGCGTGCAACAGTGCATTATCAATGTGTGTGCCTGATAATATGGACATAGCCACAAATATGCATTACCCCTGAAAAAATTACAACAGTAAGTTAGTCCCATACAGTGACAAATCCCAAACCAAAGCATTTATTTTGCCAACTTAGCTCATATATTAGGGAAAATTAAATATTTCATCCTATCGGGAAAAGTGAGCTATCAGTCACAGGTCATGCTATAATTGAGTTATGTGATATGCTAATCGTGCACTGATTGCATGCATATGGTCTGGTATTAAGACAATCCATGTCAAGATCCAGATAATATAGGTCACGCTACAGTTCCAGCTCGCTGTGGCCACACCCAGCACCGATGTAAGATCCATTCTCGCGACTATTTTGACATATACGTCAGTACAAAATATTACGGAAATCATTGAAAACTTATTTGCACCACGCAATAAATACAAGCGGATTGAGACAAGAGGGTGGATCGCAGACGCATAGTTCCTACAAGGCAGATTTCACCTAGATGCACTAGCCTGAAAGCACGTTTGCATTTGGGCATCTAGGCGCGATCCGCAGGCTACAGAGCGTCCCCGGCCCTAACAATGGACACCGGCCTAGCCATGCACGACTGCATGCCTGGTGTATTAACAAAAGAGCAATGGCCTACTCAAGACTATATCACGCCAGTATTCCCGCCAATATTATTCCGGCGATCCTAATCATTAATCTAAATCTAGCGCAGACAAGTAAAAGACAACACTGCTGCTTCCATTAGTAAAAATTCATTTTAATGAAAACATACATTGCGCATTAATAGTTATCGTGATCGGTGAACACTTCGAAGGGCAATTTCGAGTCTTAAAAAAAAGCCACAATGATGTTAAAACTCTGGATGAAAAACAGACAACAGGCCACTGTTCTTGTCCAAAAAGATCTTCCCTTAAAAATAATAGTCAGCTTTTGGTCACATCTACAGCCCCAAAACAAAAACCAAAAAAAAGGTCAACCAAAAATTTTAAATTCCAAATTCTGTCTCAAATGCTAAAATATAACTGGAAAAGGCAAAGTAACGTAAAAAAACAACTATTTTAAATCATGAACTCCAACATTTAGCGAAAAAGATTCCCAAGGAATAAAAATAGATTCAGTCCATTTACGGTAGATTAGAATCTCCGGTGTTTTCATTTTTTTTTGTTTAAAAAACATATTCCTACACAATCTTACTGGCAAGCTAATCAGACTCCAAAAATCGTTATTTATCAAAAGATTTCGAGGGGAAAAATGAAACAAAAGTCCAGATAGCTAATTAGCATTAGCTAGGCAGCAGCATCGCTTCACAAAATGTACGTCACAATTAAACCAACAGTCTACCCGTTTGACAGAAAAATAAAAAAAATCCAAGAAAAATAAAAAAATAGAAAAAAAATCCCAAAACAAAATACTCACCAAGAACTCAAAGTTTAAAATTATTAAAACTCGGCGACTTCAACGTATATTGCTGAACATATATGCGTTGTTTTTCCTTCGTCCTCAGTTCTTTGGAGCTCAAAGAGAATGCAACCCACTTTGTCGCCTGAAATGGCGACGGGTATAAACACACCAAACTGAACAGATTTGCTGAGCTCCGCCCACATGCCTTTTAGACCGTGTCTATTGGTTTATTGCGTTTGAAATGGGAAGCTCTTCCCGTTTTCTATTTGTCAGCGCAGTTTCATGACCCTGGCGTTTGAAAAATTCCGATTGGTCAAAAAAGATGGCACTCAAATGATATAGGAATTATATTGTGTAGGATCGCTGTCGGTGAACCTTGTTTTTCAGCGATGTCAGTAATGATATAAATAATATTTGCAGTGAATCTGTTGGTTTAAGTTCGTTTAGATAAAGATCTGTTTAGAATTGTTCGCTTAGGTATTCACCTCCGATATTACACGTACCCCCAATCCGGCTACTCTTTAATTTGGACTGTTATACTCTCTATTCAAATATTGCGAAGGCTAAAATAGTTCAAAGGGGTATTGATGATCGGGTATATGCTAGACGGGGGTGCCTGGCCATGTGCTCTTTTGCCCCAACGATTGTCTCCTTTTTTGAGGTTCTAAGTGTCCTTTTCCCAAGGCCCGGCAATCCTATAGGCGGCCAGCCTCTGAGGGGCGGCGACTTGCCAGCCAATCTCACTTTGCGTTGAATGGGAGGCACTGGCGGTGATGCTCGCCTAGGACGCAAGATCGGCTAGGAAGGATACTGTCTATTTCGGTAACCAAACTTACTAAATTATTAGTTTAGAAAACCGTCATTGGAATCAGAAATAGTGATGAAACATTATTCCTGATGAGTTGTCAGTAATCATTTGATACTGAGTGAAGATGATGTAAACACACACAGGTTTGTAATTATATTTTTGTGGAGACTCTCCATTCATTACTAGAGAAAACTCTAATCCCAACACGATGACCTTAACCCCTACCCAACCCTAACCTTAACTATAAGTTCCTAAACTAAATATGAAAATATGGCATTTTCACTTAGGGGAGTACTCACGTTTGTTGCCAGCGGTTTAGACATTAATGGCTGTATGTTTAGTTATTTTGAGGGGACAGCAAATTTACACTGTTATACAAGCTTTACACTGACTACTTTACATTGTATCAAAGTGTCATATCTTCAGTGTTTTCCAATGAAAAGATATAATAAAATACTTACAAGAATGTGAGGGGTGTACTCACTTTTGTGAGATACTGTAAGCCTGGTAGGTCTCTTAGGTCATTAGGGACTGGTCAACTAGTGGTGTAGTGAGCATAAAATATGCCCTAAATGTTACTACTATTAAATACTTGCTAAAGTAGTAACAGAAGTCTTATTGTCCACTGCTTTGATGCAATTTATGTTGCCACTTTCTCACTTTTAATATTTGTTTTTAATTGTCTTGTTCTTTTGATTTTTAATTTCTAATTTTCATATTTTCACTTTATGTGGACGATTACTTACACCATACTTACAAATGATATATATATATTGCACTTGTCAGGATCAGTGCCCATCCTGCCCTGTCCCATTTGTTTTGTCCTTGTTTTGTTGCTGGCCATCCTGTTCCCTCTGTTGCGTACCTCCAAGTACCTAGTATGTTGCCCTGCTCCCCTGGGCCGCCATGTAGCTCAATGGGTTGAGTGAGCAGCTCAGAAGCTCAACCCCTCTGGTCACAAGTAGTTGCAATATCACTTGTTGTTTAATTTAAAAACAACTGGTTCTATTTTTATTCCTTTGTGTTTGGTATTGTTTATATCTGTCTTTGCTTTATGTCTTTGTTTGCGGTCCACCCTGCCCGTGTCTGGTTTAATGATATTCTTTATCCTTGTACTTATGTTCCTAGCCACTCCCAGTTTAGTTAGCCCTCTGTGGTTGTTAATGTATCCTAGTTTCCAGTGCTCGTTAATTGTAATCTATTCCACCTGTTTCCTTTTCTCCCATGCCTGTACAGATTGGTTGATTTCATTATGGTCCGCACCTGCCCCTTGTTAGCCTTTCATATCTGTGTTGATGTAAGTGCTTGCCCTCACTCCATTTGTTAGTCAGTCATTGTATTGTACTTGCAATTTGTAGTTCGCAGTAGTCCTGCCTGTTATTGTTGCTCTGGTGTTTGTGGTGTAGCTTTGTGTTTGTTAGTGTTGGTCATGATAGAATTTCCCTGTTAGTTATTGAGGTTTTCCTGTGTTTCTTCCTGCTTCTGATTTATCAGTTTTATTCTGACCCCACATGGCCCCTTTGATTATTGGTTCTTCCGTTCTGTTTGTTTTGTTAAATAAACCCCCTTTTGTTTTTGCCACTCTGTGGATCATCCTTCCTTTCCTGCCATTCCCCGCTGTAACAGCAGTAAGATGAACAGAAATGGGCATCAAACAAGTAATAATTCTGCTGTCATGTTATACAAATGGTTAAAGGTAAAGACAACATGATCAATATAAGGTAAATTGATGAACAAAAGTATTTAAGCAAAAAGCAGGACATTGTGGGGATTATGAAGTGGATCTTTATGTAAAAGGCAGGGTTGGGATTAATTCACATCTGACAGCCTATCTCCAGCATTATCTCTTCAAATTCTTGAATTGCGTCACAGATTACTTTCTGATCTGTCTGACACTCGATCTTACTGGGAATTCTCTCCAACCAGGTGTCAGATGAGAGGATGTAAGAATATCTGGGAATAAATCAGAAAAAAACATGTTTTTGGAAAACTGATGTCATAATTATTCAGTACATGAATCAATCAAATATCTATATTTACCTTCATATGAAAGTCTGTAAATTCCTGCACCATTCAAAAGCATGATGTCTCCACAGTATCACAGTATTTACCATGAAGAATATTTTCTATATACATTTTATCCGTGGTATAAAGCTCATCTGGTTCATAAAAATGTTTGTGCTATAGTGAAAGCAAACAATTAAGGGCTCTATTTTCCACCTGCCCAAAGCGCGACACAAAGCCATTTTGCTAGTCTGGTACCAGCGCATTGCTCATTTTCACGCCATCTGTGAACACAGTCAAAATAGCAAATGGTTTTGTGCCCGCTTTCTGCTTGTAGGAGTGGTGGTTTTTAAAGGAGGTGTGGCTGGGCGCATTGTCCACATGTTATTTTAAGGCAACAAAAATCATGTCTAAGGTCAGTAGCGCATTATTCAACGGTATTTATGAGGCGCGTTTTCGAAACATGGCTCATTATTGACACAGATACGCACTTTAAGTGCAGTAATGTTTTTTCGTTCTTTCATTTCTTTTGTATACTTTTTTATAGAGTACATCTGGTCCTTTCACGTAATCACCTTTCGAGTTCATTATCAGAATTAAGCTCGTACTGGAACAGTGGTGCTTGAGTAGATGATGTGCTCACACCTTTTCTCCTCAAGCACAAGCATGTCCATTTCCTCAGCCAGAAAGCGATCTGGCTTGCCGGGCAAACGCTCCATTATAATAGCAATCCACAGTAGATCATGCGCAGCTGCTTTTTAAAGGTGAATTGAAGCTCCATTCCGACTGGTTCATTGCATGCTACGCCCGAAACAGGCCCTTAATGTTTAATAATAACGTATATATACGGTCAGATGCAGACGCTTTGCAATAACTTGTACTAAATTATGGAATTGTACGTGGGGACCATTTGCGTTCTCCATATGTCTAATGCTTGAAATACCTCTTCATATCTTGGAATTTAGGTGTGTATATTTCTTTTATTTCTTCATTATAGCTAAATGAAGTGACGATAATTTATTGACACCCGTGTGGAAATTCACTTTTCGCCCACCTTATACTTGCTCTCTATGACGCAGAAACACACGTATGTGACAGCAAGCTTGGCAGGGAAGGGCAGCCACCCGTATTGGTGCTCATGGTGCGGGGGATTTAAGGACCTTGCTCAAGGGCCGGGCTTGAACCAGCGACCTTCCGATCACAGGCACAGAGGCTTAGCCCACTTTCATTTAATTTAATTTCATCTAGTGGGGTCAAAAATACAGCAAATGGTTTACAAAGTGTCATTTTGTTCATCACTACTTGCCTTGTATTCAACAAACATCCATCAATGAAATGAACGAGGAACCCAAGTCCTCAAGGTGTATTAATATTGACTAGTGTGTCTGATGCTAGGTTGTAATGATGCTTGTATAGCTACCGGTCCAATGCTAATTTGCACCTGTCACTGGTCACTCATAAGTTCACCCTGGAAACACTTGTACCTAAGTTTACAGCTGTATGCTTGTGATGCATTATCTGTGTCACTTATATGTCCTGTTGATCAAAACCATCTGCTAAGTAAATAAGTAAATGAACTGAAGGTATTTTCTATCAGTCTTAAAGTAAAACATCTAAATTTATAAACTTTTGAAAGAGAAATAATTCACACTCACTTTCCATCTGGCATCTTGATCATACTCTCTGGCAAGCCGATCACCAGGTAGGAACTTCCCACGTTCAAGTTCATCACTTTCCTGCAGCTGATGTGTGAGAGGAATGATCTCTCATCCTTTATCACCACTTCGTCTTGCCCTGGACACAGCACCACCAGCAAGTCAACAAGTACACTTCTTTTCACAAGTAGCAGTTGCCAGTTGCTTAAAGGGAATTAATTAAACATTATTTATATACAGAGCAAAAAATAGAACTTACAAGAAGTTAACTTTGATTTATGCTGAAGAATCAGAAATGAATATACTTTAATAAATTTGCTCAGGGGATCTCAATAGGCAGACTCTTATCCATTTCCAGACCTATGCACAATTTAATCCAGACCAAACACAACATCAGGAACAAAAGTTTTTTCTGCAGCCTAATGTGGACCATTTATACCTGAGTTACCCAATGAACCAGCGAACATTGGCTTTGTGTCGCTGATGAAACTTGGCTCTCAGAGAAAATCAATTGAGAAACTTTCATGGTAATAATAACCAGGTCACCATCATATTTCAATTAAAATATCAGACACGACCAAACAGCCAAATGCCAGTATTTGGTGTAGGATTCCTCTTAAGGATCTGTCCTGAATGTTGCAAATCCTTTGGGCTTCAGTTTGCTGCGTGCTTTATTGATTAAATGCTGCCAAATGCCAATGATGCTAACATGTTACAAGGATCTCCAATACATTCATGGATTTCCATTTGCTTCTTAGAAATTAACATTGAAGCTTATGTGGGTAGCAACTGTGGTTTTCTCTAATTAAAACAACTGTCAGAGTCAGCACCCGTCTGCCCCAGCCTGTCTTGTCTCTTCCCCTTTTGGCCAGCAGGTGTCGCTGGCCATCCTTTCCTCCCTGTGCCCAAGTCCTTAGTGTGTTTCCCTAGTCCCCTGGACTGCTGCGTAGTGCTATGGGCTGAGTGTGTGGCTACTAATCTGTCAGTTATGTGTTTGAGTCCAACCACCTCTGTTTTTGTATTTAGTAGAATTTTGTTCCCTAGTGTTTCCTTTGTATTAGTTTTTCAAGTTCCTGAGTTTTGTGGTTTGTATTCTGTTTTGGTTTTTGCTTTGTGCCCTTGGTTGTGTTTTACCCGTCTTTATTATTTCCCTAGTGTTGGATTCTGTTTCCTAGTTTCCTGAGTTCCATGATTTTGTTCATTAGATTCGCCTTTGTGCTGTTTCCCTGAGCCTCTTGATTGCTCTCTCCTGTCCTGTGTTTCTTTGTTAACCCTGTGTATTTTTCCTGCTGGTACCATGCCCCGAGTCCGTGACAAATAACAGTGAAATGTTCTACATTTGTTTTTTTTTTCTCATGGAACTTAATTATCATGTGAACTACAGGGATCAGGAATAAACAGCATGCCATCACCAGAGACCTCTCTGCATTCCATCATGCTGATGACTAACAAGTAATTGTTATATGATTCTTTTGACTCTCCTAAAAAACAAGAAATCAGAATACAGAGCACTATACAACTCCTCAAGCAAGCAATTAATAATAATAATAATTTTAAGTGTATAATAATAATAAACACTTTTATTAATCCCTGTGGGGAAATTCTTTTTATGCCTCCCTCAACTTGCTCTTTTGTAGAGTAAGCTGTCTGTGAAGGGCAGCCACCTGTAGTGGTGCCCAGGGAGCTGGGGGTTGAGGGTCTTGCTTAAGGACCCACAGATGTGCTGAGGCTGGGCTTGAACCGGCGACCTTGTGATTACAGACACACGGCTTAGCCCAATGAGCCACATGCTGCCCCTTTAACCTCAATATATAGCATACTTGAAATATATTTTATTGTAAATGATAAATAAAGTGTCAGTTAAGGGTGATACAGGTTTACAAAAGTAATGAGTAATAAATGATACATTTTTTTACTTGTTGAGCAGACAAAAATCTTAATACATATTTTATGCAACTTGTTAAATAATATATTTTTCTGCTTCCTGATGCTATGCAACTATATGAAATATACAGCTTATCAATCCCATAATGCAGAGGAATAAATGCCAAGCTATCGGTAGAGAAAATCTGAATATCTGTGCCTAGGCCTCTAATGGCGGTAAAGCTTCCAAGTTGCCTGCTTCTCCTGTGCAATACAGCCCCGTGCTTCGCTCCTTTTCAGATCTCTGTCGTAAGCAGTGGGAATGCTAAACACTAGTAATGGATAAAATGATGCTTCATTGACCATTTGCTGTATTTTCTGACCCCACTAGAGGGTGCTCTTGGTTTGCTTTTGGGCATGCTTTGTGCCCTTTTTTGGACAGAGAGCACCATCTAGTGGTGTCAAAAAACACAGCAAATGATTCATGAAGTGACATTTCATCCATCACTATTTAACACCCCTCAAACAGCACATTCAATAATAATATTAAATAAACACATTCCTTATCTGAGAGATACTGAAGCAGCATGTCTTGCTAAACAGCTAGCTAGTTACAATCTGTAAATTCATAATTGAGTATATAAAAGTGTGATTTACCTGTTTTAATGATATTTTCAATCTCCATGATGTACTTATCATACAGTTCATCCCTCTTAATGTCTTTAAGTTTTACCATATAAACTGTGGACATTGGAAGATGAAAAGCAGGAATGCTGGTTAATACATTTACAGCACATGTACAAATCGTGCCTCAGTGCAGACTAAAAGCAGGGTAGATTATACATATCCTCAGTTCATAATTAATCCAAAAGCGTATCCTTTTTACCATGGGTGGTCGTACTACAGGCTTTTGACTCCCGATCCCCTGTGTGTTTGCTGAGGGATGGACATGCTTCTATAAAAGAGCATTAATAAAAAAATAACTGTCAGAAAAAAAAAAACACATTTTCAATTGGAAGTATCAGTTGCAGCTAGCAGATCAAAACAAAGCAACATTCCAGTTACAGCACAAACCGCGGTGGACAAGGGGAGTTTGCTCACGTTCTGCACAGTTGCACACTCGGCCCTCACATATAGTAGCCAGCTGTGTCGCGTTTCCTGTCGGATGGTAGAACTTGGTGCAGTGTTTCTCTGAAAATGTGAAATGTCTGTCATTACTTAGGTTTATAAGAAAGTCTTTCAGATGCCCTACTAAGCTGTCACAGTTTTAACAGGGATGTTGAAGGACACAGACTTTACTACTCACCCTTGTTGTAATAGGAATAGACAGTAACACTGGCTGGCTGGAGTAGCCCCACTTCAAACTCCTTGTACAGAACCAGTGGGATACAATTGGAGCCGCCTCGTGTTATCTTTTAGGAAAAGTAGAAGGAGAGTGCATGAAACAAGCAAAATAGTGATAAGGATATTGTCTTGCATGACAAAAACACAAACAGACTGTGTATTTTGTGTTGAACCCCCCCCCCCCTCCCCACCGATTGTGACATGTTTCTCTCAGTAGCTGCACTCACTTTGTATATATGGATGATGAGTGACCCTCTGCGTGACAGCTCTTTATCCATACTGTAAAAATCAATCAGATGGTCCACTCGATTCACCAGCTGCAAATAAAAACTTAAATTACACTGAGCCAAGAAGCTTGGTCCCTCACCAGGAAGCTCATTATAATTTCATTACTTTAGGTGCTTTCACACTGCAGGAAATTTTTTTCTGGAACCAGAACCTTTATCCAGAACCAGGTTCATACCGTAGGAACTTGGCCTTATTGTAGTTCCGCGGAGGCAGTTCAAGAACCCTTTTTTTGTACCTGCTCCAGACTAAGTACTTTTCGTTCTACTGAGGAGGTACTTAAAGTGATAAATTGCTGATTGGGTGACCACAAGCACAAGCAAATGTCACAAAGTGTCGCAAATCTGTGAGTATGATATTTTTGTATTATTTGTTCAATTGTGTTCTATTCACCTACTTTTAGGACTTCTGATGATTTTTCTGATGATTTTTTAAGTCATATTTATGCAGGAATATGGAGAATTCTGAAGGGTTCACTGTAACTAGCAGAACAAAAATTGAGCAGATGGAATTATTTCGTAATTCAATTACATTTAATCACTAAATTTTTTGTTTGAGTCGCCGTATTTCTGCACCAGAAAATTCGATTGATGATCAATATACTTTTCTCTAAAATTTCCAGTGCTGGTAGTGAAACTTGCCAGTGCTTATTAAGAACATATGTTACACTGTTTTTTATTAATTCTGTGAAATCTGCTGGTCAGAATTGATAATGAAATATAAACATGTTGTGGGCAATCACTGCCCCCCCAATAACTAACAAATAAGTTCATTCTCCGTTGCTTTGGGATAGAGGTGTAGTTTCATATTATGTGTGAAGTTTGGTTGAACCTACAAGCTTTTTGTATTTCCCATGCTGATTTAGCATAAAGGTCCCAGCTCTGTTGTGCGGTGTGAAACGACACACAAAAGTGACCAGGAGCTACCAAAGTCCCTGGTCAAGATGACTCAGGAATTTAAAACCAGAATCCAGGTTCTGGAACATTGGTCTGAAAATCGCATTATGTTACCATCACAGGGACTTATATCTCAGCATTTTTAAAATTTTACTGACAGATTAAAATCCATCACCAAAATGTTCCAGAATATTCTAGAAATCAGAGATTTGTTTATGGATTCCTAAGCCTTTATATATCTTTTCTTCTAATGCTTTTGTTATCAGTGAATCCATCACAGTGAATTGGCCTGAAAAATAAGGTCTTAAACATAAATACCAAATTCTTTGAATCAGTCAAATCACTCCTTTATCACCCAAAGTTTAGAAAATGTGCTTCTTTCAAAACTCCCTGTACATTATAACACTTAAATATTTTTAAACTGGCAAGATCAGTTCTCATCTAAAAACATAATAGTAAAAAGTAAATTTCTAATCATACACTCTTTTCTTGAGACATGGGTTTTCATGCATTATGTTCTCCCTTGAAACGTACTTTAGACTGCTCAGTAATACAGAATGTTAGTATTATGTAATGAACTTCACCCATTCCAGAGCCTGCAATGATGGTGCAAAGCCTGTGGGAAGAGACACGTCCAGAATCGTCATCGTTTCAGGGGTGTCTTCATGGATTCTGTGCGAGAAAGATTGAGAGGCACAAAAAAAATGAAAAGAGAATGAATGAGGTGCCAGGGGCAATAAGAACTCATCGTAAGCTGAATATCAAGAACAGATTGTGATGGACAAAATGACGCTTCATGAACCATTTGCTATAATTTTTGACCCCACTAGATGGTGCTCTTGGTTTGCTTTGGGGCATGCTTTGTGTGCTTTTTGAACAGAGAGCACCATCTAGTGGGGGGTCAAAAATATAGAAAATGAGTCATGAAGCATCATTTTGTCTATCACTAGGAACAGAGGACCAGCGGAGATAGAGATAGCATGGTAGAAACACAAATAGTAAAACTGCAGAGATAAGTGAAGACAGTCATAACAATTAACCAAGACTATAAACAATATATAAATTATGCTGAAAATGTCCTCAACAATACAGTATATAATGCATTCCAGGGAAAACTTCACATATGAACTATTTACATTACATTTATTTAGCAGCTGCTAGTATCCAAAGCAATGTGCATTTTTGAGATAGCAGGGTCAGATAATCCTTGCAGTAAATGGGGGTTACAGGCTTTGCTGAAGGACACAACAGCAAAATCATTCTGCCATACTACAGTATTTGAACTGGTGACTTTTTGATCACAGGCTGAGTATCCTAACACATTCATTATATTCACAATTCATTATAAAGCTTATAAACTATAGCTGAAAAGTTAGATGGCACAGCAGACAAGGGTAAGGATCTCGACCTGAACTCAGGCCATTATGCGTATTCAGTACCTAGCGTGAGCAAACAATGGGCATTTTTGTGGACAATGACAGGATGAACATCTGTGAGCTGTAGTGAATGTGTGTCTTACTTTGGGAATTTCAGAGGTCTCACCTGTTCAGGGAGAATCGTTGGGAACTTATGAGGAGACAATGATTCGCCATAGAAAGTTAAAAGCTGAAATACTGAATGTGGTATTTTGGTTTACTGACGTTGGAGATGACTTCTGCCATCGCCACTGCTTACCTGAGGCAGATCTCCATGAGATACCCCTTCTCCACTCCGTTTGGAAACTTGGCATCTGCAGGAACACATGAGTGTGGCAGGCAGACTTAATGACATATGATCCTGCAGGAGCACGCATAGATAATCCAGTACTCCCAGTTCCCCATCAAATTTCAAATGGAAAATGGCTGTAACCATTACCAAAATGTAATCTGGACTAGTCCATGCATTATGCCAAGTTCTAGTTAACCAGAAATTAGTGCACAAAACCTAAATGGTTCTACAAATTAAGCATGTTTGCCAAGATGAGCATGACTGTGACTCAGAGGGGTCACTGCATACTCACTGTGCCTTCGCTGCAATTCTTGTAGATCTCTCTGATCTATCGTGACATCCATCTCATAACCCACACAGGACTTCATTTTTTGCTCAGGGATGGCATAATATATGGTCTCAAGCTAGAAGGTACAAAAGCCTATAGAGTTAGTGCAATTTCACATTTATAACCAGAAGATCATGGGCAGTAGGCAGTACAAATGTCTGATGCTGACTTCTGCTAGGCTTACAATAAGGTTGTTAAATACTTTCCCTTTGTTCAATTTAGATGGAGGGTGTGGGTGTTTTTGCAGCTAAGCTCCTCTGCACGCCTTTATCTGATTGTATTGCATATACGCAAGTTTGCTGTGTGCTGGGGAAAACAGAGAGTCTGTGAGCAATGGCCAGGCTCACTTGGCTGTACAGTTCTAGAGCAAAACTGTCTTCTGTAAAGCGTTCAGTGGGTGCCAGCAGAATCGTTGCATTTCATCCTCCAATCCCTGGAGGGTTTGTTCACTGTCTGAAGAATCAGGTTTTTCCACAATAACTATAAAACTTTTTATTATTATCTGTCATACAGACTTCCTGGAAAGCAAAAACCATATCTCTGTTTAAGACAGTTTGGTCATGTGATTGTTTTCTGTCCCGCATCATTGGACCTCCTGATTTTGCTGAGTTTGACTTGTCGCCAGCAGGGAGGTGCTTACGTTTCACTTCTTGAACCAATCACAGTCGTCATTTAATGACATCACCACATTGTGCTGCTCTTTTCTCATTTTCAAACTCAAGGTTGCCAGCCATCCAGTCCCTAGCCCTGGGGAGGTGTGGGGCTCAGCAGGCTAGGCCTATGTGCTTGTGATCACAAGGTTGTCGGTCAAGCCTTGTTGGTATCATTACGATCATCATCCTGAAATTAACACGCACCTTTACATGGCTCCATACAGCCTTTGCAAAAATAAGCATGTTCCTGTATTTTGTATCTATGACAAGTCCCCTAACAAAAGGCATACACAATAAAAACAAGTACTTAAGAAACTCCTGCACCTCACTGCTTACCTGAAAACACTGGTTTTAATTAATGTGGTGATGTCATACAATGAAGACTGTGATTGGTTAAAGTGAAATGCAAGACCCTCTCTAGTTGACCCAGGGACATGTTGAACTCGGCAAAATCAGGACACGCCCCAATCATTACCAATGCCGTTTCCCTCACCCCCAGTAAGTCTGTCTGGCCTAGTCCACACACATACCCCTTCTGGGACCTGACTCCCCAAATGTTGTTTATGTTTTTACTGCATGCTAATACAAAACAGCATATTTTATACCTCCCCAAGGCTTTACCTACACCTGGCTCCTGCCCCCATAGCTTTGTTTGTCCTGTACATTTGTATTGTATTGAAAATGATTGCATAAATATACTGTGAGAAATATGGTGTTGACCTCAATACAGTCTGTTTCTGAACTTTCACTGTAGGTCTAAGAACACTGACACCCTGATGATCGTATTCTTCAGAATTTGCCTTGAGTACAAATGAATTTTCTGTGTTATATGTGCTCATTATGAAATAATTCAGCTTTCTGCTGAACAGAAAACAGAACAGAGAACTGGATTCAGTTAGAATGATACCCCATCTTGAAATACTGAATATGTTGTGTTTAAGTAAAGACAGTAATCATGCCCTTCATCAATGATGGGTGAAATTATTTCTTAATTATGTCAAAAAACGTGACCAGTTACCCATCAGCACCCTCTGAAGTATAATTTAGTATTCAGAGAGGATATTTAATATTTCAAGCCGAGAATTTGGGAATTCTATCCATGTAGAACCTACCACAATCTTTCCAGTTCCACTTCCCTCTGCTTCTATTGTGAAGTTCTTAAGCTTGTGGACCTGCATTAAAATATGAAACAATAAAAATTATAAATAAATAAAGGTATTTAGTAATTAGTACCGGTACTAAAGAAATGTAGCCTAATACCGAACGACTTTTAAAAATGCAATTCGGTAGCTTTTCAGTACTAGAATTCCGTGCAACACAAGTTCGCACAAGCTCTGAGATATTTGGTAAAATATGGGACTATAATACCAGTTAGCTTCAGCTTTCGAGTGTTATAACCAGTATCTAGGAGTCACCTATACCATAGAATGCTGGGTGTTGTGGGAAAAAAACAAGCTACCAATGGAGCTGACACACCCTCACATATATACACATGTACATGCTCTCTGTCACCTCTGTCACCTCTGTCACCGATCTTACCTTTTCAGTTCGAGCCGCTGACCAGGTGTTTCTGTTAAAAGTCCACATTTTCGGGCGGCTCCTCACATCAAGCACCAGATTCACTTGCATTTTTTTCTCTTTCTTGCCAAGTTCCTTCAGCTCCATTAACTTGTACTCTGCTAGGGCCTGGAACACCACGATGGTGCTCTGGAGAGGATCGAGGTAACGTTAATGTAACGTTAATGTGATGTTAATGATATTAGACAAAAATATATTGGTTATTGGTCAATTTTCCAATGCAGAAATATGAAGATACAAGCAAAAGGGTATTCATTAATGTTTTAAATGTAATTGAGGTCCAAAAAAATAATTCCCTCTGCTTTATTTTTGCTCTACTAATTCTATCTCTTCTCCCTGCACTTCTGCCTAACAAGTTAGCTTGTGGTCAACCAATCAGTAAGTTACCGCTGTAAACACTTCCTCTGTAGTTCCTCTGAAGAGCTACAATCGGTGGGAACATGACAGACGTTCCTGGTTCCAGAAAAAAACACACACATACACCACACAATGGTGCGTCTATATAAAAAAATCTAATTATCTCCAAAACTGGTCTCAAAATGTAACTAATCGGTTTCAGTCTGGAGCCCTGAACATACGGCTAAAGACACACCGAGAAACACACACCTAAGTACACAAGTTACCTGCGTGGACCCAAACTGGCCTCTTTCATTGGTGCGTTCCATGAGCCAGTTGCTCACCGGAGTGGCCAGTTCGAATTCATTCAGCGTCAACAGAGCTAGCAGAGCGTACCCTGTAGCCTCAATGCCCACCTCATTAAATCCACCCCAGTGAGTACCATCTGAAGAAACCAAGAAGTCAGGAGATGTAGCAGACATATGAGGCAGGCAGACATGTCACAGAAAACAGTTCAAGAATTTTAAAAAATGGAGTGTCTATTTGCACCTGGGTGCACAAAAGCATCTGGCCATTTTCAGCTATTTAGACCTGGCCGTCTCAGTCCCCCCCTCCCCCTGACTCAACAAAAAAATGTAAACATTGTGTTTCTTGCATGGTTTCACATCACTTCAGGGATTAAAAGCACCAAAACTGGATACAAATATAAGACATTAATTAAGGTATAGTAATAATAACAACAACAATAACAACAACAACAATAATAATAGTATAGTATTGTTGGCTAATGACACCAGGGTGCAAATAGCATCTGCCTAAAAACAGCACAGTAATAGATGGTTGATTCTGGATTTAAGATGTGCCCGCCAAAGTAACAGATGCAGAAAAAAAGCCTTACCTGAAGAGCCAACTCTTTTTAAGTGGTTGAGCAAATCCGCTTTGCGTGCTTTACATAATGCCAGGGCATAGGAAGCTAAGGCCACACTATAGGGCCGTGAAAGTCCTGGCAGCTGGTGGAGCAGATACTGTGTGGCCTCTCTCATACGGCTATCGAGGTTCTGAGGAACAGCATGGACACACAGGAGATGAGACACCAGACACTTGATGGGACACACATACTTAGCTGTACTGATGGACAAAATGACAATTCATGAACCATTTGCTGTATTTTTTGACCCCACTAGATGGTGCTCTCTGTCCAAAAGGGCGCAAATCATGCTCCTAAGCAAACTAAGACCACAATTTAGTGGGGACAAAAAATACAGCAAATGGATCATGAGGAATAAAAACATAGTAAGTTTACAAACGAGAGGAAGATAGGAAAAAGTCAAAGGAAAAATACTTAGCTAGCTTTGCAATTTTAAATATTATTTAATATGTGTTCTCTGAGACAATAATAATTTTCATCCTTGCTGTTTAAATGACTCCTACATGGGTTTGCTTTATAAATACCCCAATAATTATTACAACAAAATTTCACCGTGCCGTCCTAGTATGTTATACAAAATACTTTATTTCTTGTCCCTGCAATCCTGATCTTGTTGCATCTGTTCTTTGAACTACATCACAATTAAAGTTTGGGTAAAACCTATAAAATATCTGTACATTATATTTTGGCTTCCTGCAAGGATTACCTTACTTTTGTCTACATTAAATTTCATCTGCCAGGTATCAGCCCAGTCGCTAATTAAATCAAGATCCCGTTGTAGCCTCTGTGCTGCTAGATCAGTATCTGCTACACCATCTGTATCTGGTGTCGTCTGCAAATTTAACCAGTTTACTGTATGTATTAGTGTCGATACCATTTATGTAAATATTATATAAAAGCTGCATCATTTTGTCCATCAATACTTACTGTTTAAGTACATATCATGAACAAATATAGTAGCTACTTGAGATGATTAATTAATGAAACAATCATGAGATCCGTATTTCACTTGTGTTATTCATTACTTGTTCCTTCTGGGGTTCCGTCAGTAGTTCACAAAGGTTTATATAATTAAGACATATAGTAATAAATATAGTGACTGCTTGATATAAAACATGTGTCATGATTCATTAATGATAAATAGACATGAGATCAATATGTAACTAAGACTTAGTTTGTGGTTAATTAATACATAAGTAACAGTAAAATACTACATCATTTGTGCCCCCACAAGTGGAGTATTATCATGTTGCATTCTGTGATTTAGGAACAACACAAAAAATGCATCCAACTCACAGGTATCTCTCCACTGCAGATACTCTGGGTCTCTGCGATGGCTATCAGAACAAAAGCTGTAAGCCCTAGATCTCCTTCATCTTTGGTCCCACCCTGAGACACAGGAGCAAACTTCATTCACTGGTATCAAATACATGCATTGTGTTTAACTTTAAGTCTAATCACCTTCAAATCAGATTTACATCATTTTGCCTATCCATGTTCCTTGTGTTTTGATATATATGTTACATTGTTTTCTCATATATAGGGTATATTTTAGTTTCATTGATCCTAATGTCTCAGACACATGCCATATTTACTGATATTTACTTGATAGTTTCAAAGAAAAGGGCCAGATTACAGTATAAGAAATAAAAGAAAATAAATGCTTTATAGTGAATTATAAAAAGAAATCAACTACAGTAAATCCATTTTCAGTGACATAACCACATTTAAAAATGGACATTTGAATGCATTTGCTAAGCTAATAATTGTTGATTTAGTGAGACAGAATATTAAATTAGGCTATGCATTTTACAATTGTTTAATCTAGCACTGCAAAAAACTATTATGATTAACAGGAATATGAGATGGAACATGATACCATGAGGGATTTGGATGAAACTTCAGCATCCTCTTCAAAATGTCCATTAGTTGCTTTTCTTTGCTGGATTAGGAACTTTATGGTCTCACACACATGATCCCTAGATGCTACACCAAGGTGTGCACTCATCGCAAAAACCTTGCCTGTATACGCTGTCACCCTGAGCAAAAAATAGCAGCAAATAAATCCCTTAATAAGGTGTGGGGGGAGGGACTCACTGCGAGCAATTAAAGCAGGGGTGGGCAACCTTATCCGCAAAGGGCCGGTGTGTATGCGGGTTTTCGCTGCAACTCCCTAATTAGATTACTAATTAGAGGACTGATTGTCTGACCAAAAATTGGGGGCTCGTCCTTTCCTTCTTTCCTTTTCGTGCTTGTCTGGCGGATTTTTTTTGTGTGGTGGTGGGGTGTTGTGGTAGTTGCAATAATAGTGATGGCCTGGTTCAATCTCGTCGCTTTTACCATCTACCCCAGTGCCGTAAGGACGATTTGCTGCAAATTGCAGAATTCTTTAATGTTTTGGTTCCCGCTGAGGCTTCCAAGCGGGTTGTTAAGAAAACCCCGCTCGACGAATTGATTCGGAACATGTTAAAACCCTACCTCGATCGTTCGGTACCTCGCCCCTCGCTCGTTTCTGCTCAGCCGCCCGCTCCTGTTGGCATTGCATCTGTCACCAATTATTCGCCAGAGACTGATGACTTACATCTCGGTAGGAATTGTTTACCCTGTGCTAGCCTTCCTAACTCCGAGGCCCTGCAGAACCTTTCGACCCGTCTCAAACATCTGCAGCAGTCTGCCTAAGCCGACCTTTCGTCCCTGGTGAGTCGGTTCCGGTCCCTATTTTCGGACACTCCTTCACGCACCCCTGCTGCTGAGCACGACATAGATGTTGGTNCCTGTGTATCCCCCCCTTACCAAGATGTGTGTAAATATGTCAGCAGTCAGGGAATTAGCTAAGAGGTCTCTGGGCGCCTCACAGGATAGGATGAAGAAACGGTTTAATAAGTCAGCACAACCCCGATCATTTCAAGTTGGTGATCAGGTACTCGTCCTTCTGCCGCTGCCAGGTTCCACCCTTCGCGCCCGTTTTTCTGGTCCTTATGTGATCCAGGAAAAGCTTAATCCTACAAATTATGTGTTGGCAACCCCAAACCGTAGAAGAAAGACTCGCCTGTGTCATGTGAACATGTTAAAACCCTACCTCGAATGTTCGGTACCTCACCCCTCGCTCATTTCTGCTCAGCCACCCACTCCTGTTGGCATTGCATCTGTCACCAATTATTTGCCAGAGACTGATGACTTACATCTCGGTAGGAATTGTTTACCCTGTGCTTGCCTTCCTAACTCCGAGGCCCTGCAGAACCTTTCGACCCGTCTCAAACATCTGCCCCAGTCTGCCCAAGCCAACCTGTCGTCCCTGGTTAGTCGTTTCCAGTCCCTATTTTCGGACACTCCATCGCGCACCCCTGCTGCTGAGCACGACATAGATGTTGGTGCTCACCCTCCCATTAAGCAGCACCCGTATCGGGTTAACCCTCAGAAACGATCTCAACTAGCTCGCGAAACCGCTTATCTGTTAGACACAGGTCTCGCGGTCCCTAGTAGCAGTCCCTGGTGTTCGCCTTGCCTACTGGTTCCCAAGCCTGACGGAACGTTTCGTTTTTGTATGGATTATCGAAAAGTTAACGCCATAACCAAACCAGATGCTTACCCGCTGCCGCGTATGGAGGACTGTGTGGATCGTACTGGCTCTGCTAAATACGTGACTAAGTTAGACCTGTTGAAGGGATACTGGCAAGATCCGCTATCTCCCCGTGCCTCTGAGATCTCTGCTTTTGCCACCCCTGACGAGTTCCCCCAGTATACAGTGATGTCTTTCGGTTTACGTAATGCCCCGGCATCTTTTCAGAGGCTGATGCATCGGGTTCTCGGCGATGTTATAAATTGTGAAACCTATCTAGACGATGTTGTCATCTATTCGGACTCCTGGGAGCAGCACATATGTTCGTTAGAACAAGTTTTTATCCGTTTGCAGAACGCTTCGCTCGTCCTCAACTTGGAGTAATGTGAGTTCGGACAGGCGGCCGTAAGTTATTTAGGAAAATTGGTCGGGCATGGAGTAGTTAAGCCCCTGGACATAAAGGTCCAGGCTATCACTTCCTTCCCTGTCCCCCGGTCACCTCGTGAGTTAAAACGGTTCTTAGGAATGGCCAGTTATTATCGCTGTTTCTGCAAGAACTTCTCCGATGTCGTTGCGCCCCTGACCCAGCTGTTACGGAAAGGGGTGCCTTTCGTTTGGTCCCCAGCCTGCCAAGCAGCATTTGATTCGGTTAAAATGCTACTCAGCAGTTCCCCAGTCTTAGCGGCCCCAGATTTCTCTAAGCCCTTCAAACTGGAGGTGGATGCTAGTGGGATTGGTGCTGGTGCTGTCCTCTTGCAGGAGGACAACTGTGGACTCGACCACCCTGTTTGTTATTTTTCCCGGAAATTTGTGAAGCATCAATTAGCATATAGTGCCATAGAGAAGGAGGCCCTTGCTCTTTTATTTGCATTACAACACTTTGAAGTGTATGTGGGGGAGACTCCCCAGCCGGTGACGGTCTACACCGATCATAATCCCTTAGTTTTCCCCTCGCCTATGTGTAACACCAACCAGCGTCTCATGCGCTGGGCCTTAATTGTGCAGTCTTTTAATCTTGTGATCACCCACAAAAAAGGGGTTAATAACCTAGTGGCTGATGCCCTCTCTCGGGCCTGATTGGACTTTTCTCTTCCGTGATTGTTTTGTTTTTTAATATGGTTCTGTTTGAGCATTTTTTGTAACTTCTGTTTGTGATTGTGAATCCCTGTCGGAGTTCACTCTTGTGTGGGGGGGGTGTTACGTGCCGTAAGGGAAATACGTGCCGTAAGGGATATGTGCCGTAAGTTTAGGGTACGTGCCGTAAGTGTTACGTGCCATAAGTTCAGGAGGATGCCTACAGGTTCTCCGGACGTCCTGCCCACTCGCCCATTGGTCAACTGCTCCCTCGACTCCTCCCTCTGGACCTGGCCCCGCCTCCCTTGCCTTCGGAGCAGTTTCCGGTTCGTCGGCTGAAGAGGCTGCAGCTTCGCCACTTCAGCTGCCCGCTACTTGCTTCTCGCCTGCTAGCTCGCTCTTCGTTCGCTTTGCTTTTTGTATGACTGTTTTGCTCTTGACTTCCGATTTTCGCCTCATCCCTTATTGTACCTTCGCCCTGGTTTTGACTGTCTACTTGGTTTTGAACTTTCGCTTGTACTTCGACTTCGCCTCTCTGATCTCTCCTCTGGATACCTTTGCTTCGACTGTGTGTTTCGTGTTCCACTAGGTGTGTGTAGGGAGTGTCTGCCCTGTTTGTTTCCTCGTAAACGTGGGGGTTATTGTTTGTTTGGGTTAGGCATTGTTGTTTTGTTTCACCCTTTTTTTTCACTTAGGATTAGCTTAGCTTGGGGTTATATTCCGTAAATGTGGTTTTGTTTGTTTCTTTGGCCTTTGTCACTCCTGACATTTGTTACACCTAGTGTTTGTAAAGTGTCTGTGAAAAACTATTAAAAAAACTACAAAAAGACTCCCTTTGTGTCCCGTGTTCCCTTCTCCTACTCCTGGTTGTCTTGTCCTTCCCAATCCCTCCTTCCCTTTCACTTTGTTAGGCTCCAACCCTAGACTGGAGCGTAACAAGTCCTCACACCTGGGTTTGAACAGCTGACCTAAAGGTTATCCCAAAAACCTGCATACACACCGGCCCTTTGCGAATAAGATTGCCCACCCCAGACTTAAAGGCAATGGGCCTCATTCACCAACCGCTCTGAAGGAGGTATGGGGGGAGGGGCTCACTGCGAACACTTAAAGGCAATGGGCCCCATTCACCATCAGCTCCTAAGGATGGGCCTCATTCACCATGGTAGCAAACTAAAAGGGGTTTTATTGAATTTAAAGGATAAATGCAGGAAAGAAACGGGATTGTGAGGGATCATGAAAATGGGAGGGAGGGAGCAAGGGAAAGCAAGGGGTCTCAATCACCAACTGCTCATAAGGAGGTTATAAGGATAAATGCAATTATTTTTAGTGATTAAATGTCATTGTTGACACACCACAGCACACAGTGCACAACAACAAAATGTGTTCTCTGTATTTAACCCATATGTGACATAGCAGGGGGCAGCTAATTCAGTACCCGGGGAGCAGTGCTTGGGGGCGGTACCTTGCTGGTCAGGGATTCGAACCTGTAATCTTTCAACTACAAGTGTGCTTCTCTAACCATTAAGCCACCACTGCCCACTAAGTGAGGGATCACGAAAATGGGAGGGAGGGAGCAAGGGAACACAATGGCTTAACATCAATGGGACTGGGGAACACAGGACTGGGAAGCAGTTTTATACAAGATTGATGAGTGAGCAAATGAGAGGCAGTTGGAGTGATACACACGAGGGTGTGAATGAGAGATAAGACAAATGAGTAACAGGCATGACTTGTTAGGACCACGCCAGGGAGGAAACAGGAGGGTCAGTTGGGCAGGATGTGACACTTCTTAGGACCTTTCTCAAAAATAAGTTTAAGAAAAAACCTTAGGGTAATATTGGTGAATGAGGTCCAATGTTCTCAGAAAATCATCAAGTTCATCCAGAAGCAAACAGACATGCAGGAGTACAAATTACCATGTGCTTGATTTTTGGTTGTTGTAGGGAGGATATGAACCATCTGACTTGCGATGCTGCAGATGGTTTCCATAACCTTAAAGAAGAGAATGAAAGTTTAAGCATTTTTTTCTGCAAGAGTGATTTCATCTTCGTGGTGGCTGGACCCAAATGTATACATCTCCGTAACAGAAAAATAAACAAAGTGACACCATATGCAGAAGAACGTAGGAGAGGACACGACTTAAAAATTTAAAGGCAAAGGTTTATTTATAGGAGGATGAATGTCCCCCCCCCCCCCCACTCTGTTCCTACACTCCTGCATTCGCATCAAACTTCCCATGTCTGCAAGATTCTGGAAGTTCTCTAGATCATTTCATATTGCTGAAGGTTTCTGTCATGCTTTGCAGCTCTAAACATGCAGCATTCTGCAATTCTTAGGGGCAGCGATAAGCCTCAGTTTTCAGAAACCACAGTCACATGACCAACCTAGCGAGGCAGAGCAAAGGGGAGCCGTTTACCAGCCTTGATGTAGGAGATGGCCTCCATCCTCCTCTGCACACCTACGCTCTCCCAGCCATTGGTGCTGTCCAGGAAGCGGGTGGCGATGATGGGGCATGTCATGGAAGCCAAGTTCTGCTCTACACACCCGCCGGGCATTCGGATGAGCCGGCTCAGGACGTTCCCGCTTATTGAGTTTTGGATCGTGTCCGTAAGCTCGTCCCCTAGACACGCAGCGCGGATCGTGAATAAAAAATGTTTGCCTCCCTTCAGACCAACGTCTCTGTACAAACTACAAACTCAGTTTTTCCAAGTTTACAAATCACTATGAACTGTAAAGCTACGTGCTTTTTCAATACATTATTTATTCCCCTTTTACCCTTAAGTTTAAATTTAAAAGACATTTAATTAATCATTTAAAAATTAAGAATGTATTTCAGAAGAATACACAAAGATAAATTGCTTAATTATCATCACACACTCAGTGTTCCAGGTTATAGCATCATACATCTATGCCAGCTTATTAACCATAAAGCCGTATTACCAAGAACAGTGATGATACTGATAGAATCTGTTCCTGGAACCTGTGATCTCAGTTCAGGTATGACAAAGGTTTCCTTTCGCTTTCCGCCTCAAGTGAAGGGAAACATCAACAAGAATAAGCAGTTAGAAGGTGAATGGATTACCAAGCTGAAAAACTGGTAAAATTTCTATATTTTATAGTTTTACAGAGCATCAAGGTAATAATGTATCACCTTACAATAATTAGCAAAAGCCAGTCATGCATTGTGTGAATTAAATTACAAAGAAGAATCTAAAATTGACCAACATTTTTTTTTTTTTTTACAATGAACCGTGGACGTGTCACTAATATCTGGTACAACTTACCTCGAGCAGAAACATTCAGAAGCCTTATAGTAGTTTCAATTTTCTCTTCTCCCACTGCCTGGAATGGGAGGACATATGACCCATCATGGACAGCTCATCTAAAGCTTTGCATTGTAGCTGGTCATCGTCTCTGCATGACCTACCAAAACCAAAAGGTTCTTCTGAATGCCGTCGGTGACTTGGAGTCCACTGCTGAAGGCTCTTACGCGGATGGCATGTGAGCCCTCTTTCAGGGGGACGATTGTGAAATGCACGACCCGGCTCGACTCCTCTGCAACTGTTACTTTCTGCTGGAACCTTCCACCTGCACTTGCCATGCTACAAAGGGCATCATGTTTGTACAGTTGTACAATAAACTAGCAAAAAGGAAGAGAGTAACAATGTCATGCCTCTATGCCGTAAAATTATGTTAAGAAGTCAGGCAACATGGGTATATCAATACTTATTTTAGATTTAAAATGTGCTTATAAATGTTGCAAATATATCATACCTTTAACAGTACAGACAAGTTACCAGAGGGAGACTATTATGGCAAAATAAGCGGTACCTCTCCTTCTGAGTCCATGTAGTTATGCAGGACTGCTTTGATTTCAACTTGTTCCTTTACTATGACAGAGTAGGGCAAGCGCAGGTCAACAAAAAAGGATTTCTTAACTGGGATCGGCACTGGTTTGGCCACACACACACCTAGAGGAGACAGACAGACGGACTGAGGTAAATATGAATATGAATGTAATAATATAGGCAGGAGTGTAGTTTGAGATAAATGGATAGGGGGCTTCGGGGGGGGGGGGCGGTGATGGCAAACTATTCATGACTATTCAAGCCAATAAATACACATTTATTTGGGGGGGCTAAAAACCATTTTAGGGGGAATAAAGTCCCCCCTAAAATAAGCCTAACGATGCCTCTAAATACAGGCATTCAGATGGCAGCCAATATCGCCCAGATAATATCAGGTAACATCATTTTCTGGTAATATGAACCAATTATTGACTTAGGGAGACCAAGTGTAAAACTCTACATTGGAATACAAAAGCAATAACAGATATATAATGTCTATATAATTTGTAAATTCTGAATTGTGCAGCTACAGACAAATTCCTGGCTTATTTTTGGAAAATGAAAGGTGTTGGTACGTTAAAACTGAGCTACATGTCTCTCCTGATTTTCCAGCAAGCAGTTACAGACAATCCTGTTCTTCTGATATTGTGACAATGCACTTATACTGCTGCATAATGCATTACTATAGGACAGCATGCAAAATACTAAACATTGCAAACCTAAAGATTCAAAATTGTGTTGGTGCATCGCAATAGCTATCAAACTGTGGCTCCAAAGAAACATACAGTCCTGATCCGGATTACTGGAGCGAAATGTGTTACCCAGCGTCCAAAAACTAGGTTTGGGCAAAAGTCTTGGGTCTTTCAGCAGGACAACGACCCAAAGCAGACATCCAGCAGTACAAGAGAATGGTGGAAAAGGAAAGACGGACTGTTTTAAACTGGCAAGTGATGAATCCTGACCGAAATCCCATTGAAAACCTCTGCAGAGAGCTGAAATCAGCCATTGCAAATAGGACTCCTGCAAACTTCAAAGAGCTGGAATGCTTAGTAATGTTACAGTAGCGGATGGATGCAAGAAGCTTATAGATTGATACAAGAAATGCTTAGAAACAGTCTTTGTCACCAAAGGTTCTGCAACCAAATATCAGTGAAGGAGCCAATAACTATGTCCAGCATACATTGTATGTCTATATTTTATTTCACTATATGACAGCTTTTGTTGTTGTTGTTGTTCAATAACTTTGGACATTTTATTAAATATTCTGATTATACAAAATTTGTTCATTTGCATTTCTTTCGGAAGAAATTCTACATTCTGTACTTACAATTGGGGGGTGTCAATAATGCTGACCAGGACTGTATGTTACATTACAGATCCTCTAAATGTCTCATTTTGAAAGTTTTAAAAGAGGAATAAAAACTGAAAATAATCACAAAAATTGCATATCTTAAAATATGGCTAATTGATATAAGTACTGGATATTATGTATTTCATACAATAATTATTCCATTAAAATGTGATTTCAGTCGGTCTTAGCTGAGTAAACGTAAATTACATGGCTACTGTGGCATGAAGGTGCTCTCTGCTGCCCCCTACCTTTAGTAGGAGAAGTACTGACAGCCAAGACCTGCCACTCAGTGATGGAGTCCTTCAAAGGTTCCTGAAATTCAGCTGTGACAAGACTGAGGAAATTGAGAGCACTATATTAGGGATGCTGCATCTGTCCATAAGCGCATCACAAGACTCTATCATAGACGAATGAGACCAAGTCAAATGAATGAGAGTGATGCTGATCCTTAGCTGGCACCAAACCCTTTAATAAGCTACAAGGAAGCATATATAAGAAATGTATAGCTTAAAACATATAAGAAAATCATTTTACCCATCAGAGCCTGGGTTGTTGCCTAAGGTCAAGGTTGTCCACAAAAAGCTGACCTCAAAACGGGATCTGATATGAATTTGAGACTCGTCAATGTCAAAGTCATCACCTGAAAAAAGTCACCATAGATAAATGTAACTGGCTTTTCACTGCGTTTGTCTCCCACACTTGTGACCTGTGCTGTCGCTGAATAGGATGCAGCATAAGAAGTTGGAATGATGTCCTATGCAGGGTCACATGGGTCCAGAGCCTATCCTGGAGGCTACAGTGCAGGGTCACATGGGTCCAGAGCCTATCCTGGAGGCTACAGTGCAGGGTCACATGGGTCCAGAGCCTATCCTGGAGGCTACAGGTGCAAAGCAGGAAATAGCCCAGGATGGGCCACCAACGCCACTTAGTAACAAGTCATCTTAGCCTTTTCTTGGACCATGGGGAGAAACCGGAGTACCCCGAATAAACCCCATGACGACATGGGGAGAACATGCAAACTCCACACACAGAGCTATGGTGAAGAGTCCAACCCCAGTCCCTGAAATGTGAGCCAAAAATGTTAACCACTGCACCACCCATATTTGAACATTAATTAGGTACTCTTAGTAATTTAAGTATTTCAATGTCATTTTTGTTTTAATGCCTTAGGACATTTTGATTTAATGTATGCGAAAAAACGTCAGAAAGCATTTTCACAGTATACTGTAGAAAGATTTCTGCAATGTTTTTCTAAACAGAAAAGTTCTCCACAATATTGTTATTGTAGGCTGTGTGTGCTAGTTTTATACAGCCTATCAGTATCAGGCCGTCTATAGGATTGTTAGCTTGTGCTTGCATTGGGTGTGTGTCCTGTGATGTCTGCTTCCTTATGTCGTGTGATAGACTGGGATCCCGTCCAGGGTGTCCCCTGCCCTCTGTATTTACCTGGATCAGTGCCATGTTTGCTGTGACTCTGGATAAATGGTTATGGAAAATAAATGAATGAATATGAAACTATATTTCCATTAGAAGTTCAAGTCAGTCCACTTATGGCAGAATGTGCAGTCTCAGGTGTCACTTTGTCTCCTGAATTCTTAACGGAGATCAGCTCTTATCCCACAAGGCAGTTGACACACTGGATGGAATGCCAATAAGTTAATGGCGGCATCATCCTGAGCAAAATCTCCCTGTATGAATATAAAATTTCACTGAAGAAATTTAGTTGCTTGAAAAAACTGAGCAGCAATTAGTAACAAAATGACACTTCATGAACCATTTGCTGTATTTTTTGACCCCACTAGACGGTGGTCTTGGTTTGCTTAGGAGCATGATTTGCACCCTTTTGGACAGAGAGCACCACCTAGTGGGGTCAAAAAATACAGCAAATGGTTCATGAATTGTCATTTTGTCCATCAGTACAGCTAAGTATGTGTGTCCCATCAAGCGTCTGATGTCTCATCTCCTGTGTGTCCATGCTGTTCCTCAGAACCTCGATAGCCGTATGAGAGAGGCCACACAATATCTGCTCCACCAGCTGCAAGGACCTTCACGGCCCTATAGTGTGGCCTTAGCTTCCTATGATTTGACATATTCGTGGGTTATTTAGATGCATTTTTACCCACCTTTGAGTATGGCACTTGTTATAAAATATATTATAAAATATATAAAATAAAATATGTACATCTGAATAATGAATGAAGGTGGGAGTCGGCCCACTGCAGAGAGCGCACTCACTTCGGGCCAGTAGCCACTCCGTACTGAAGAGTGGCATCTTCTTCTCCAGGCCCCGGCAGCAGTGGAGGAACGCCTCCACACACTGCTGCACCTCTGTGATGTAGCGGGAGCGCTCCTCGCAGGAATAGTCCAGAGGAAACGCCGTCATGCCGTCACGGCAACACTTCCGCTGCAGATCACTATGGTAACGGTTTTCTGTGTTGATGGAGAGACGTTAGCCTGTCTACAAGTGTACAAGTACAGGTCTGGTGAAAATAAATAAATAAATATTTATCCAACATTTGTCTACAGGGTATAAAATACAAAAATACACTATTTATAAGGTTACATAGCTGGGGCTTCATACAGGCGGCCCCCAGGATACAAACGAGATCTATTCTCTTGGTCTGTCTCTAAGTCGAAGTTGTATGGAAAGTCATGAAAATAATAAGAACTATTATTATTATTATTATTATACAGTAATAGTAAAATTAACTACGTACAGTACTGCACTTTACCTTCAGCTGACAAACCATTGAAGCCGTGCAATGTCTTCATGAGCGTCACAAAGTTGTGCATGTGTTCATTATTACAAACTATCGTATTTAACTCAAATTTTTTATATAATAAGCTTTATGGCAGTCTGTTCGTAAGTATGAGTTGTCCATAAGTCAGATGTTCTTAACCTGGGGATTACATGCACTGTACATTGAGGAGACTGCTGAAGATTTTTCATAATGCTACATTTGTTTCCCCCCCCCCATCTCATCACAACTGACAAAACCTGCAACTGAATAACAATTATGTCCAGGTCCAACTCACCAAACTCCAGTTTGATTACTGGCAAGGTGGCCTGGCGCTTCTTCCGAAGAGTGACATGATCAAGGCAGGAATGGCCTTAAAGCGACAGCAGGTGTGAATGAGTGAACAAATTAATGTATGAATTCATGAATGAACGAACGAATAAATGAATAAATGAATGAACATGACTTGTTTTCATTTATTGTTTAGAACATGGGGCACAAATTTCCAGATGGTGCTAATTGGATTTTGATGATAACAGAGCCCAGGCAGAGATAGTTCTGAGGAGTTGGCAACAGTACCAACTGAACTGCCTTACTCTTTGTTCTGAAATTAATTTATTTCTTTATGTTACCTTTGAATCATTGAACCTAGCATTAGCATTTCTGTCACCCTAATGTAGAATTTTGAATGAAGCCCAACTGCTTAACGCTCATTGTATTCTGTCTGTTAAGCTGCAGCACTCATACTTTGTCTGGCCAAGGTTGAGTGTCCCTTGTTTGAAGTGAAGGTAAGCCCAGCATCTGTGAACATGGCCATGTTGTTCTGCCCCCCTCCCCTGGTGCATCCCATGTCTCTGTCTTCAACAGCCTCCCAAACCTGAGGCGGGAGATAAAGGTACAGAGTGGAAAGACACAATCTAATCTACTAACAACCTAATACATATCATGATATACCAGGGCGTGCTCAACCCTGGAACAAACTCTTTTTTGTTGTACTGCTACATGATGTTCAAATGTGACCTTATGCATCAGTGATGAATCTTCTAATCTGTCTGTATAATTAATGAGCTTGTGACACTCACTTCTGGGGAATGCATGTGGGTTTCCTTTACTGTGTAGTACAATAAGGTATTGATGGCCAAATAAAGCTTCATGAACCACTTGCTATATTTATTGACCCCACTAGATGGTGCTCTCTGTTCAAAAAAGGGCTCAGAATATGCCCCATATCAATCCAAGAGTGCCATCTAGTGGGGTAAAAAAAATACAACAATGAAGCTTCATGTGGCCATCGTTACAATAAGGGTTCTGATCTCCCCACTCTAATGGATGGTGGGATCTTACCTTTGACTGGGTAAGGAGACCCTTCTTGCTTAGTGTGAAGGCAGCTTTGTCTACAATCACCATTCCCACCTGGGCTCCTGGATCTCCTTTTACCCGCAGAGTGATTTTCGATCCTGGCAAGTATGATGCTCGCACTTTGCCAATTGACACTTCAAGCTGAGCATCAGGGAGAAAGAATGGCGATTTACATTATAAATATATATAACTCAGTTACTCTTTGGAGCTACAAAAGACAAGGAAAATGCTTTAACCATTTTAATATTTCATAACCATTATAAAGGCATCGTTATTTTTCGATTAATCCATTATTGCCTCCTTTTTAAAGGTTCTAGTTTTGTGACAAATGGGAGTGCCAACTGACGCACCCTTTTGCAAATTACAACTTTTTGTGTCTATATGCAAACAGACTGACCACAGTTAAGACAGACATCACAGTCATATTAATTCATACTTATTGCCTTGGGTCTGGATTTATGATAGATGGATTGCTAAAAATTTTATTGGAATAACCCACAATAACACAGGGAGGCGCCCAAACCTCAGAGCATTCACCTGAAACATACATGGATGGCTGAAGAACAGTCATACCACCCAGCCCAAACCCCACCCGAGCAGGCCTGCCGGTCTGTGGGTACAGTGCCTCCTCTGTCCATCCACTCAGCTCTGACCCCACCCGAGCAGGCCTGCCGGTCTGTGGGTACAGTGCCTCCTCTGTCCAACCACTCAACAGTGGTGGCTTAATGGTTAGGGAAGTAACTTCTCTTAATTCTTTTAATTGAAAGTTTGCAGGTTTGAATCCCCGACCAGCAAGGCACCACTGGGGTACCCTGAGCAAGGTACCGTCCCCAAGCATTGCTCCCCAGGCGCTGAATTAGCTGCCCCCTGCTATGTCACATTGTCACGTGGGTCCGTGCACTTAGTGCACTCTCTGCCCTGTTGGCTGTGCAAACCAGCAGGTCCCAGGCCATTGCATGCATATGTGACAACTTTAATTAATTTGCACAACGGTGTACACTGTATATATCCCACAAAAGGCACCGATTATTGGATTTCCAGTAATAAACTAAACAGAAACAAACTGTAGAGGGTGAGTTTAGCAGCCAAACACCTTCAAGAAAACTACATCATAACCCTGCATTTTCTTTGTTAAAGCCCCACACTCGATAGCTTCTAAAGGCCGGCACTCACAGTTCCCTCACATGTGTCCTCCATGTCTACCCACACCGAGTCTGAGAGGATGGCATAGTTGACTATAGGTAATGTGCCATAAGCGATGAGTCGGAAGGATGGCAGCATGTCTTTGGTGACACTAAGCTTCTGCTTCATGGTATAGCTGCCCTTTTCCACTCTCCACTTAGACGCCTGTATAACCTGACCCTTGCTCACCACCTAGAACAAACAAAAATATAGCATGCAAAAGTAAAAGAGCAATAAAACACAAAGTACACTTGATTTGTGCCAGATGGAAAGAATTAGTGATGGACAAAATGCTGCCTCATGAACCATTTGGTGTATTTTTTGACATCACTAGATGGTGCTCTTGGTTTACTTTGAGACATGCTTTGTGCCCTTTTTTAAATAGAGAGCACCATCTAGTGGGGTCAAAAAGTACAGCAAATGGTTCATGAAACGTCATTTCGTCCATGACTAGTAAGGATTCTGAAATATAACAACGTCTGATAATACTACTTGGTGACTTTACCAGGTAGGAAATGTATTCAGGCTGCAGGTTGGTTCCCTTCTCGTTGTTGAAGTTGATGGTGACCTCTAGATTGTTACTGGAGACCATAACTGCACCCAGATGTAGATATGCACCAGTGCTGTGTGTTTGAGCAGACTCGAGAGTGCGATATTCCACCGCCTGATGATTAGCCGGTAATTTTTCATCTTTGGTTTCCACTTTCACCTCCTTCTGTTTGTCACTGCTGGCTGTGTTAACTTTGAGCAGAGCTGCTCCCTGATTGTCTGTATTTACTATGTAAGCACTGGCCTTTAAGGGGAGGTTTTCAGCAGGAGAGCCATCTGGATTAAGCACCCGTACCTACAACAGGAGACAATGGTGCAGATAGATGTAGAGAAGGTGAATACATATTATATATGTATATTAGTGCTGTCAAATGATTAAAATTTTTAATCAGATTAATCACAGGGTTCCTGGGGATTAATTTTGATTAATCATGATTAAATATCATTCATTTTTAATCTATATTAATCACATTTAATTTTGCATGAGCAAACAGACTCAAGAAAAAAGGGAATATAAATACACTTAACATGTTTATTGAACATCTTGAACATGAGTCGGATGCATTCCATCTGCCACAGAAGTGCAATACCATGGACCCATATCAAAAAGCAAGATTTTTTGCTTAGCCGGACAACTTGTCGGATTTAAGGTACCTAAGTTTAAATGGTCTTTATCTTCGTTCGCTTACAATTAGCACGAACTACCGTAAATCCGACAAATAATCCAACTAATCATGAAGTCCAATTCTAGCCCAGTTAATTGCCATTGTTAGCAATATCAGTTGATAACACATTACGTGCGGTGCTTTACATATAAAACTCCGTAGCAACACATCCACAGATAAGTTGGACGGTATAGTGTGTGTGACCGATTTAATGAGCCACAAATGAGAAGTAGTGCTTAAACAGTATAAGACTACAACTTTCCCTTCTGTTGATAAAGGGCGCAGCCATCTTGGATTCTGACCTCGGGATCCTCTGTGGTGCTCAGAGATATTTCTCGGATCTCCGAGAAACAGAAGTGCATGTCACTTCCGGCTTCAAAACTCCGGAATCCGACTCGGAATACAAGTTCCGAGGGGAAATGGAACGCACTAAAACTGCCCGAAATGGGTTGACAGAGACATTTCAGTGATTTTGAATCATTCTGCGCTGCAGATGGGTTAATTGCGTTAAAAATTTTAATCAGATTAATCATGATGATGGATTAATCCGCGTTAACCCGTTAATTTTGACAGCCCTAATGTATATATATATATATATATACACTGTTTATATATATATTGTATATATATATATATATATGTGTGTGTATATACAGTAGTGTGCTTGGAGTGTGCTCCAAGTCATACTCACGTGAAGAACCGCAGGCAGGCCAGGCTTAAAGTACTTGGAGGTCTTGGTGAACAGTATCCTATATGGAGATTCAACCACTTTGACTGCGACCTCAGCTTCCACCATTTCACTGCCTATATTATTTTACACAGAATGAGATACCATGTTATCTGCAATTCACTAGCAATGAAAATTCTAAATAGTCAGTCAAAACCAACTCTTAGATGTATCAAGGGTACAAGCACTGAAGGTGCGAGGAACCTAGTGCAATCATTAGAATTTTTCACTACTTTATACTTTCTGCTAAGACAGTCTATGGGAGCCCATAAAACCTCTTGGTGGATTTTGATGAAACTGGGACAGCACAACGTATCCAGGCATCAAATTTGCGGTCAATCCATCTAACTCATTATCAACACCAACAGGTCAAATTTTAAGGTACATTTTTGATTACAACATTTCTACCATTCGTCCTAGCGATGTGATGTTTTTTCTTCCGAATTTTTGGGTCAGCTCGATTGAAATGGACCCATTGTTGTTAAAGTCCGCCATATTGCATTGTCTGTTATTTCGAATTTTTCATAAAAACTACTTTTGCAAAGTAGTCCTAGGCGATTGATTGTAAATTTGGTATCACCTAAAACTTTTCACAGGCCAAAAATTTTGTCCGATCTTCACAAAATTTAGCATGGGTGATTTTCGGACGAAGTCTCACAAAAGTTATGGATTTTTTGATTTACAAAACCATTCGTCCTTGACTGCAAAGGAAGTCAGTGGCAAAGCTACCAAACCGGAAGTGTGGCCATGCTTTGATTTTTTGACACTAAACTTGGTATATGGACTCACAACTACTTCCTGCGGATGTGCAAGAAATTTTGTGTCCTTTGACCACTGGGGGCGCTGCAATAAGGAAAAACACGCTTTTCCTTATTTCCGGTTTTGTAGTGAACTGCCCCTTTAAGAGATCAAACTTGTGTGACCACTGTTTAGGATTTAATCAAAGACTTCAAAGTTTCCAACGGCTACAAACCTTGTCGAATCTTCAACAAATTTTGCACAGATAACCTTCAGAAAAAGCCTCATGAAAGTTTTCAGATGGTTTTTAAAATTTCAAAACCATTTGTCCTTATCAAATTTGCCAATGGCGATGCCAAGCACTAAGGGGGCTCATATCTTGATTAATCTTTGGTCCACTGACATGAAATTTGCTCTGCATATAACCATACCCTTGACAAAATGACATGAAGTTGTTTACATGCCAACTATGCCCTGGTAATCTGCTTGGCCCCATGATATGGATTTAATTTTTTCATGATTTCTAAGATAAAAATTGTATATGATTGGTGTTTTAATAATAGTTTTTGTCTCTGTGCATGCAAATGAAAGTATCACGTACCTGTGATGGTGAAGACTGTGGCTCTGCAGTATATTAAATCACCTAACATTTCATTAATTTTTCTGTCAGTGATACTTGACCTCTCCAGCTGAGCCTGTGCTGTACCGCCCTGAGAAAGGCGGGGGATAGGATCTTATTTTATATAGATCATTAATACTGCAGTTACTATTAAAATCATTTTATTAAATGAAAATTATTAAACACATATCATTAAAACCACAAGTAACTGTATTGTGTTAATTTATTTACATTTATGTAATGGCAAATAATTCTGTGTAAAGAGAGGTAAAGTTACTACTAAGAAGGTAAAAGATATAAACCAGTAAATTCCACTTCTCTGCATGCCGTTACATTCCGCACGCCGTTACAGCCGGCACGCCGTTATAGTCCGCATGTTACAGTCCGAATGCCGTTACAGTCCGCACGCCGTTACAGCCGGCATGCCGTTACAGTCCGCATGTTACAGTCCGAATGCCGTTACAGTCCGCACGCCGTTACAGCCGGCATGCCGTTACAGTCCGCATG